ATTTTTGACATTAAGAAAGGTATCACAGACATCGATAAATATATATTGAACAAATATTGCGTGCCAGGCGTTAATCTAGGTGCTTGGCATAAAGCAGGGAGCAACGGAGACAGAGTCTCCTGTCTTTGTGGGAATTACATTCTAGTTAAAGGAGACAGACAAGAAACAACATGAATCAATAAAAATATATAGTGAGGAGATACCAATGGTTGGCAGGGATGGGTTGTAATTTAAATAATAAGTTATGGGAGACTACATTGAGAGAGAGGTGAGGGGGCAAGTATATCTTTTGAAGAGTATTCCAGGAAGAGAATACTGAAAGAAAACTTTCCAAGATTCTAACTAGCAACGTTTGAAGAGTATCAAGGCAGCCAGTGCAGCGGGAAGTGAAGGAGCAAAGGTAAGAAGAAGAGGGGAGGTCAGGGAAGGAAGAACAGCGAGATGGCAGTGGGCCTTCTGGGCTATCTTATGCGCTCTGAATTTTACTCTGAGGGACAGGTGCAACACTGACATCAATCAGGACATAGGATCTGACTTCTATTATTCAGGCTGCTATTTTGAGGAGGGGCTATAGGGGACAAAGGAGCAGAAGCAGGAGAGGTCTCCAAGGTTTAGGTAACTAAGCTAAAAAAAAAATCAGAGGCATTTCCAAAGAGAATGTGCTATAAGGACTAGACATAGCTCTGACTCAGTTAATGGAACCATTTCTAGGTTGCACCCTTAGGGCACAACTTCGGAAAAATTTCTGAAAGTATTTTTAAGATGGTTTATCCCATAAAATGTACTATCTCTTAAGTGTTGAGGTTTGACAGTTATAAATTTACTGTTTTGTTTTGTTTTTTCAGATTCACCCTGAGAGAGCAAAGATTTGCAGCAGAGAAACCCTTTGATTTTAATATTTTCTCCTGGATAGTTTTGCATAATTTTTATGTGATTTCCTTGATGAACCCACTAAAACTATTTTCCATCCATAGTTTTGCATAATCTGCATAATAAGGAAATCCTGAGGAAGAACTAGGAACTGGGCAATTCAGCAAGATCACAGAAACCATGTGTTGGGAGCTGCTTGTCAGCAAATGCTGCTAGAGATTCTGTAAAGATAGGACAAATCTTGCAGATAAAGGCAAAATAACAGTCTTTGGCAAGATTTTGTATAAGCTGCATATTTCTTTGTGGGGTCGTTGCTACTTCTAAAGAATCCAACTAGAATTATTATTTTGGAACACATTTTTCTGTGTACCTGCATACTTCCTGTCTCCCTGTCCACAGTTCCCCCAAAATATTCCTCTCCTCAACTATTTGCTGCCCAGTTGAAGGGGCCATATAGATTATAAGGGACTTTATGGCATTGGATGATGGGAAGCTAGCAAGATATTCTAGATAGCTTTGCTGCACAATAAATTACCCTAAAACTTAGTAGCTTAAAACTATTTCATTTTGCTCATAATATTGTGGGTCAGGAATTCTGGAAGGACTTGGGATGGTGGTTCTCATGGAGCTTCCGTCATCTGAGGGCTCAGTTGGACTGTGTATCCAAGGTGGCTCACTCACATGGCTATCAGCTGATCCTGTCAGGTGGGCTGTCAACCCGAGCACCTGTAAGTGACCTCTTTGTGTTGTCTGCACTTTCTCACAACATGGCAGCCTCAGGATAGTCAGATTCTTACAAGGTGCTTCAAGTCTCCAAATAGGAGTGGTCCAGCATATAACAGGGAAGCTGCACCATTTTTTTCTGAGCTTTGGATGCCATGCAGTATAATTTCGATCACATTCTACTGGTTATAAGTCAGCTATAAGTCCATTCAGAGTCAAGAAGAGGGGACACACACTCTACTGTCTGATGGGAGGAAAGTCAGGGTCACATTGTAAAGGAGCGCATGGACAGGAGATGTTGTTAGGGCCATATTTGGGAAATGTAATCTCCTACACAGGGTTAGTTGATAACAACAGATTGTGTGAAGTCACTGTAAAGCATTCAGGTCACCAGCCTGTCGAGAGACAAAGAAAGGAGGCAGAAACTGCAGAATGTTTATATTCTTGCATTCATAAGAGCAAAAGGATCCAAGAAAACAGTGGGGATTTAATCAAGTCAGGGCAAACTTCCAATAAAGGTTTCATTCTGCATTCTATACTCCAGGTTACTCTGTGATGATGGTTTCTCATAGTCATTCATTCATCATTTCACAAACTTAATATTGAGTGCCCACTACATAGGACTATTCCAGGCTCTTGGTGCATAATCAGCAAATAAATGTAACAAAAAGCCCTACCCTCACGGAGAGTGTATTCTCGTGGAGTCGTGATATTAAAATAAGCAATAGTGCTTGTGAATTAAGTAAAAGGCAATTATAGACAAGGCCTCACATGGTCTAAAGAACTAGCTCCAACCGGAAGGATGTTCTGGGCTGAAGTTTTGCCAGGTGATTGTGCAACAGACCAAGTGGTGGGGTCTTTGGGAAAGACATTTATAGGTAAAAGAGCTAATTTGTCCTATGAGTTTAAGAGCGCTTCCGGAAAACTGCTAACCTCTTGCTTTTCCCAAACCATGCTGTTTTACGTCCATCTGGTACCCTTTGTTCTACTTGTTGGCATCACAGCCCCAAACCCGTAGGGCCTCCAATAATGCTCCCCACCCTGTACACACACCCTCTGCCATATATTTTGGAGTTCCATGAAGACACCCTGCATTTTTCATGTGATTTACCAATAGATTAAGGCAGGTAAAAATGGGTCAGTACTAAGGCTAGACCTAAAGAAGTCTTGAGTGTTTTCACTGGAGCTCTTGCCCCTCTGCCTTTGCCACACAGGCATGCTGCGGTTGGCTGGACGATGGGAGACAAGTGAACTAGAGCCCAGTTGCGCCAATCTCCCCAAGCAACAGCTAGCCCAGCCAAGGTCCCAGATGCATGAGCAATAAACTTACAGTCTATAAGGTTTTGTGGTTGCTTGCTATACAGCACTTTGGGGCAACAGAGGGGGTGGCACAACTAGGAAACGGCAGAGCTCTTTCTCTGGGAGACTTGCTTACAAGTCTTTTTGTTGTTGTTGTTGAAATCAGTGAACACAAGGCCCTGTCATTGCTGCTGGTGCTACCCTGGCACTGGGACTTGCAAAAGGATAATCCCAGTCAAAATGAACAGAGTTGCCTCTAGATTCATGACAAGGGGGAGGTGTGGAGGAATGAAGTGGAATAAGGCCTCATTTCTGCCTGTGAAAGTTTGCATTTTAGGCCTTCTTATCTGAAGGGACAAAAGTCACTCCTAATGTTTATTCCGATCAAGGGAAGAGGAAGAAGCCCCAAGAGGAAGCTAAACATTCCAGTTGCTCCTCTGAAACCCTTAACCCATCAAATTCCCTGCCTAAAAGTGGACTTAGATTTTTTATCATTATAATTATATATCATATAATTAAAAATAAGCCTGTTTTGGCAGCGTTAGAGGAGGATGGAGGCCATAGCACCCACTATGTGGATGTGCCAGTCCTGGCAGTAATCCTGGCAAACAGAGCTCCTTTTCCAGAATGCCTGGAGCAAGGACCGAGAGGCAGGCAATGTAATCTCTGCCTCCAAATCATTGACAATTACCACTTTTGAGGGAAAAAAACCCACCTCCAAACAAAACTGTTCTTTCAAGTAAGCGAAGTAGTTGCTCTCCCCACCAAGTGTCAGGAACTTTTCCACCAGTCACTTATTCTTTTGTGTCTGGCACAATCCCTATCAAAATGCAAATACCCCTAGGAGAGGTGACCTCTTTGGCCTTCATTGGTCAACACTTTGGGAATGGAAGCATTATTTTAAAACAGCTGAACAAAAGAAAGGCAACTTGTTTGTGCAATTGTTCATTTTCTGTCTTGCCCAGTGGACTGCAAGCTCCAAGAGGTCTAGGACCGTGTCAGCTTTGTTTACCCATCTATTTCCAGAGTCCAGGACACAGAGGAGACCCTCAGTAATGCCTGCGAAAGGAAAGCAGAAGAGAAGAAACAGAGGGAGGAAGGGAGGAAAGAGGCAGCCAAGAACACGCAGAAAAGGGTAAAAATGCCTAATTAAAATTCTCACGCAGCATTTACCCTTCTATTAACTAGTTAATGACATCAACCTCTTTACTAGGCTCTTACTACGCATGCATGGGAGGGAGAGGTCTCTAGAGTAGGAGAAACACAGAACCCCCACCCTCTTACCTTAACCTGGTGTGGTTCTCGGCATTTTTACTTCTGTATACTCCAAGAAAAGCAACACGACAACGAAGGCCAAGAAAGTTTCTCTAGGAGGCCTTCCACCGATTCGACGCTTGAGACGTGATGTACTCAAAGCCCTCAGCCTTTGGGATTGAAACATTCAGAATGAGAACGCCAAAGTGACCAAGACGAGAACACAAGTTTCGGGAGGGCACTCCGTTTTCTCCTAGTTCCCCCCCTCCGCCCCCCAGTTCAGTGGCTTCTCGACCTTTAGCGTGCCCGTGAATCACCTGGGGATCTTGCTAAATATGCTGATTTTGATTCGATAGGTTTGGGGCGAAGTCTGAGCTGCTGCGTTTTTAACACGCTCCCAGGTGATGCCGATCTGCTGACTCGAGGGCCACACTTGGTGTATACTAGGGACTCGAGGTCTTCACCTCCACCGCCAGGTGTGTGCGTGTGCGTGCCGGGTCTCAGCTTTCCGGATCGGTCCCGCACGTCCCTGGCCTTCCGCCGAGAAGGGAGGAGCCGGGGGCGGAGCGGGAGGAGTGGCGCGGGCCCCGCGTGGGTCCTGCCGGCGATCACCTCGGCCCCTGGGAGAGGCGGCCGAGCTGCGGCGGCGCAGGAGGGGGCGGGTTCGGCGAGGGCGCGGCCTCTCGGGGGGGGGGGGGGCGGACGACGCGCATCCCCCGCGCCCGCCTGGGCCACTCGGGAGCTTCGCGGCAGCCCGGTGCCCCACTTGGCAATCCGCTCCGTGCTTCTTCCTCGCGCCCGCCTCCTCTTGGCACCTCCCGTCTCAGCCTCCCTGCTCCATCCCCGCCGCATCGACCGCCCGCCGAGCGCCTCCGAGAGCGAGAGGTGGTGCGCGGGGCTTCTGGGCGCGCTCTCAAGCGGACCCCGGCCGGGCCGTGGGGGCACGGGCAGCAGCATGGACACCAAGCGCTGCTTCGCCAACCGCTTCGATGACTACCAGGGCAGTCTGCTGGCGGGCCAGTGCGAGGAGGCGGTGGCGCCCTTGGTCACCGCCACCATCGAGCGCATCCTTCAGGAGCTGCCCCCGCTCGGGGGCGGCGCTGAGGCCCGGGGGGCAGCGGCCGCGGCCAGCAGCTGCCAGGGCGGGCTGTACGGCGGCGTGGCCGGGGTGGCCTACATGCTCTACCACGTCTCTCAGAGCCCGCTCTTTGCCGGGGCCCGGGAGCGCTACCTGCGCTCGGCCAAGCGCCTCATAGACGCGTGCGCCCGCGCCGAGGAGTGGGGCGAGCCGGACGCCGACACCCGCGCTGCCTTCCTGCTCGGGGGCGCGGGCGTGTACGCCGTGGCCACGCTCGTGTACCACGCCCTGGGCCGGTCCGACTACGTGCAGCCGCTCGGCAAGTTCCGGGCGCTGTGCGCCGTCTGCGCGCCGGTCTCCTTCCTGGAGTGCGGCTCCGACGAGCTGTTCGTGGGCCGCGCGGGCTACCTGTGCGCTGCGCTCGTGCTCAAGCAGAAACTCGCCCAGGAGGTAAGAGGCAGCCCCGGCCGCGGGGGGGCGCTCGCCGCCTGCCCGGCCCTTCCCCGGACTCCCGGCCGCGGGAGCAGCGCCCCGCGGCTCTTCTCTTTGTTACTCTGTCTGGCGCTGTCATCTCCTCAGCCTCCAGAGGTTTCTCTCCCGGTTTCATCCATCTTCCCTCCTCTCTTTTTCAGCCTCTCGTTTGTTGGGATTGCGCGTCTTTGCGCTTTGTTCCCGTTTAACGCGCAACGTGGCGTCTCCCCGGATGCCTCTGCCCAGCAGCTTCCCGGAGGTTCTTTCAAGTGGGGGGGGGGGGAACCCGAATTCCTTGAAAATGAAAGAGATTTCCCTTCCTTTGGTCCTCCTGTCAAAAAGCCGAAGCACTCTCGTATGTTAAGAGTGCTAGCAAAGTATTGGAAGTTTTGGGGCCTCGTAAGGCTGTCATTGTTTCCCTCGCTAACGTGGAGGTAAATGGCTTCTGCGACCCCCCCCCCCCCCGCCTCGGTCTGTAACCCAGAATTGCTGCCCAGCTGCGGGTCTGATGTACTGACTCTGGTTGCTTGCTATTTGGTTCATCTCAGGGCTTTTTTAAAATGCACATCTGATGAGAGTGTCCTCCTAGATGCATAAATGTACACAGAAGTTTACCCCATTGTAATCGAATGTGCATTTTTCATTTTAGAACGTGTAGTTAGAAATGTCGAGACGACAGTGTACTTGACAGAGCAGGTTTTCTTAATAACTTTCCAGTAGCTCCTTGAAGTGAATTGGATTTCACAACTACCTATGGATTGTTGTTTTTCTTTTCTGGATTCACTTTGAATACAACATGTGACTGTTAGAATGTGCCAGTTCCTGTGGGGGGAGGGGGCAATCCTCCAAAGATCTTAGTAACTAGAACTGAAAGAGGCATTTTCATTCATAACCCAGTGGAGCCAAATATTGTTCTAGGGAGGAAGTGACACATTCAACATGACTTTATTTGGGTGAAAGAGACATTTGAAGAAAAATTAAGGGTATACGGTGTTTTAAAAGTGCAATTAGATAACTTCTAAGATAACAGGCAGACTTGATTTTGTTTTTATAGCAGGTGAGGTTGATCCAAGTGAGGAAAAAAAAATCACTGAAGACTGTGTACTGTGCTAGCGCGGCAGCAAAGATCTGTGTGACAAAGTTGTCTTGAAATAGTTCATTCTGCTTCTGAGTCACTGTTATCTGCTAGCAGTTCCCTAAGGGCCCTTCCAGTTGTAGAAAACCTTTTAGAAGGCCACAGGGCTATTTACATATCATTTGCATTACATTTGCATCTGCTCCTCAGACCTTGCAGTCTGGTGGTAGGCAATTTTCAAATAGGTGGGTTTTTTTTTTTGTTTTGTTTTGTTTTTGGTTTTTGCTTTCCCGTTTTGTGCTTTGGAGCCTTTTCTCCAGAACGGAGTGGCAAAGAGTGTGAGACTCATCAGGTCATACAGGTGGAAACAGACCACAAGGACTCCTTGCCCTAAATGGTGGCCCAGGGCCAGTCTGCAACGCTGATCCAAAAAGACATTTATTAAGACCTCTCTTTTGCGCTCCTGCCAAACCAAATCTGTCTTTTTCTGCTAATCAATTTGAGGTGCTTTGACCCCTGCTTCTAGAAGACAGAACAAACTCTGAGGGTTAAACACTGCTCCCTGTACCCCCCCCACCCCCCCAAAAAAACTCCGGCTCAACCTGAGCAAATAAACTAGTCTCAGTGCCAGCCTCAGCTGCAGTAATCTGAGAAATTCAGGCTTGAAAGGTGCAGGGCAGGGGCTAAACACGCCTGGCTGGAAGCCCTTATGAGGGGGGAAAAATACATCTTCTGCACTATTCCCACTCCCACATCCTAGCCAGCATATGGCTTTGCCCTCAGTAGATGATCCATAAACGTTGATTAAATTGAGTTGCCAAATTCTGTCATTTCTCTATAAATAATCTGTTCTTATGTCTCGGGTTTCTTGCCTTCCAATGTCATTTATATTCGCGTTCCTCTGGCAGTTCCCTCAGTTATCCTAGTCTAGATCCTCCCCACACTACTTGGCACAGCTTTGGCACCTAATAAATAGTTGACTGAATGAATCCCCATTTACTGGGATTAGTACAATATACTCAGCTGGATTCTCTCAAGCCATTACATGTACCACTTAGGAACCAATCTTAAAAGCACTTCATTATGCCATTTCCCCACTCAGCATCCTACAGTGGCTCCCTATTACCTTTTCTCCCGTGGCTTCTCATCTTTCTCGAAGCTAAGGTCCTTAAAATGGCCGACAAGGCCCCACATGATTTGGCCCCCCTGCATACCTATTCCACTTTGCTCACTCTGCTTCAACCACACTGGCCTTCTTGCTGTTTCAGGCATTTATTGTCTCGGGGTATTTGTACTCGTTGTTCCCTTTGCTTGGAATACTCTTCCCCTAGCTATTTTTATAGCTAGCTCTCTGACCTTGTGTAGGTCACTACCTCATCAGTGAAGCCTTCCCTGTTCATCCTCTTTAAAACTGCAACCTTGTCCCCTAACTTTGTGCCCTTTTCTTGTTTCATTTTACTTGTTTATTGTTCCAATTAGAAGATAAGCTCCATACATGTGGAGAATTGTTTTTTTATTGCTATATTCCCCTCATTAAGATGGTACCTGGGACATATTTAGGGTTCTCAACTTTTCTTTTGGTATTATTACAAATATTTTTTATGCCACTCATTTTTAATTGTGACTCATTTATCAAGATTTTCCTTTATGGTGGTGCTTTTGGTGTCATACTGGTAGGAATATGTCCTATTGGTAGGAATTCTTTCCTACCACTAAGGAAATATGTGTTGCCTGAATAAGTGAATACTAGTTTCTTAAAAATTTTGCCTCAGATTGAGCTTGACCTTAGCCCAGTGCATGTTGAACTTGAACCTTCATAGGAATCACCTACAGATCTTGTCAAGAGAATACAGACTGATTCAGCAGGCCCGGTATTGGGCCTGGGATTCTGCATTTCTAACAAGTTCCCGGGTGATGCTGCTGGTTCAGGGACCCTACTTTGAATAGCAAGGCAGTATAGTGCTGCATAGGTTTTGGCATACCAGTCATGTCTATTAAGATCTGCTATAAGACCCCATTCTTTGGTGTCTTGCTTGATATATTTTTTTATAAGGTTGTAGTTGAGAATACTGATTGTTGTATCCTATCATTCTTTCATTATAAGGAGCCACAAGGGAAATTTCTCTCAGTACTTAGAAACAGGAATAGTTGTGCTCCTCCTGGAAATTGAATTTTTTAATCTTCAGAATATGTCACATAACTGACATGTTTCTTATTTGATGCTGGCTACTAGGGAGCATATGGCCAGAATTGTCCACATAAGCTTGTGTAAAGTGCCTTCTCACATGTACCTTCATATACAGGTGTTTCATTTGGGGTTTATAATTTTTTCTTCCTTAGTTTACCCTTTTTTGACTTGTCTTCCTTCCATCTGATTTGATTGTATTGATAAAATTCAGAGAGGAGAAAAAAATGTGCATGTGTGTCTATGTATGGTAAAGAGACAGTGGCAGGAATAGTCACTCTAACCAGGTAATATATTTGTGTTCAATTTGGCTCTCCTGGAAATACTCAAGGGAAGTAGCTTTAACGGTTTGTTAAGCAGATACCCTTGAGCAATGGGGCACTAAAGTCCTATGAAATCACACCATAAAAACTTGTATTGGGTCCATTCTGCTTTCCAGATTGGTGAAAATGTAGCAGGGAAAAGGAAGTTAGAAATAGTGGAGGGATAAAGGGGACACCTGGGGACCAGAGTTAAAATAGTAACTTTGCCATTGGGGTGACCTTGGACAAATAATTTTAACATCTCTAAGCCTCAATTTCCTCACTTGTAAAATAGATGAATTATTGCTTCCTTATCCACTTAATTCTGTCGTTTATTCCTTTGTTCAATGACTGTCAGGTTTTTTACCTGTGCCAGGCCCCTTGCTAGATACCAGGAGTTCGTAGTGAACAAAAATCAATATAATGATGTTACCACAAGTGCTCTGAAGGAAGTAAACAGGAAATAATTGGGGGCAGGGAAGGAGAGGGGAGAGGTGCTGCTTGGCAGACATCAGCAAGGAAGACTTCTCTGTGGAGGTGATGTCCTGGCTCATCATTGAAGCATGAACGTGAAGTGGCTGCTTTAAGAGCACAGGAGGACAGCAAGGATGAAGCCCCCCCCCCCCAGGTGGGAATCTGCTTGGAAATTTCAAAGAAATGGAAGGCTGCCAGCATAATGGGAGCAAAGTGAGCTAGGGCTAGATGGATGGGAGAGCTCCAGACCAGGTAGATGCTGTGAGCGGGATCAAACCAGATTCTACAGGGCCAGGTCAGTCTGGAGTTTGTACGTGTTTCAGGCTTAAGTGGCAATGTCTTCATCTTATTTAATTTTTAGAAAGATCACCTGGATTTTCTGTATGAACAGTGGATTGAACAGTATTAAGAATGGTCACAAGGGGGATTGGTTTCTGGGGTCTAAGCCCCTATTGTCCCAAGAACTCCTTTGTAAATCTGTTGAAGCCTTTGATACCCTTTAGAATAGCATTTTTAGGTGTATATAATCAAACACTTAGAATTACAAAGGAAGCCAATTATATCGACATTCAGTTACCAAGACATTTAAAAAAAATTGTGCTGCAGTTGCACTTATGTTTCTTTATTAACACGTTAAGTAACAAGATTTTGCAGCAAGCCTAAGGATTATGGTACCTTTGAAAGAGTGATGAGGGTCAATGATATTTCGAGCTGTCTTCAACAACTGCAGTGTGATATGAATATAGCTGTGATTTCTATAGGTGGCAAAGTCACAAGTACTTTGGTGGTTTGTGGTCTGCATTTGTAATGAAAAGAAATGCTAAATTGTTTAAATGAGATTTGAGGAAATACAGATGTGATTTTATTTCCTCAGCCAAAGGGGGCTGGTCTGGTAGCTGCCGTGGTGACTTACTTTAAATAAAGTGCCTAGTATAGTGCTTGG